AAACCCTGTCTTGAAAAACCAAAAAAAAAAAAAAAAAAAAAAAAAGAAGAAAGTAGACATCCTCTCGGGTGGGATAATCCTCATGTGTTCCTCCCTTCACAGGGCACATAGGGGATGATGGCTGGAAGTCCAGTGATGTGCGTTTAGCGTCTCCGCATGATGGAGACGCAACCCGGATCACTTCCACCTGACAAAACTAAGGCAGACCTCTGGCCTCTGCATGCAGGTGTGCAGTGCAGTCATACATGAACACAAATAAGGAAAAGGTTCAGGTGCTAGGAGGAACGAAGAAAAGCTGTGCAGAGGCTGGCAGATGTGGGGCAGCTCCAGTGTGTGTGTGTGTGTGTGTGTGTGTGTGTGTGTGTGTGTGTGTGTGTGTGTGTGATGCATGAGGCTCAGCTGGTCATGGTGTCGTCTAATCCCAGCACTCAGGGGGCTAACGTAGGAGAATGACAAGTGTCAGGCCCGTACTGGACTACATAGTACAGTGAGTACTTTTTCTTTCTTTTTTTTTCCCCCCCTGAGACGGTTTCTTTGTGTAGCTTTGAAGCCTGTCCTGGAACTTGCTTTGTAGCCCAGGCTGGCCTCGAACTCACAGAGATCCGCCTGCCTCTGCCTCCCAAGTGCTGGGATTAAAGGCATGTGCCACCACTGACTGGCCCCAATAATTTTTTTAAAGGCCCTGGGTTCAGTCCCCAATACAAGAAGAAAGAAAAGGAGAAAGAGGAGGAGAAGAAAGGAGAAGAAGGAGGAAAGAAAACAGAGAGAAAAAGATGAATTTAAGGATTAGGAATGAGATGGAAGGGAAGCTTGCCCCCACAAAAGACACTTCCTAAAGCTGGGCGTGTTGACTCACACCTTCAGGAGGCAGAGGCCATCAGATGTCTGAGTTCAAGGCCAGCCTGATCTACAGAGTGAGTTCCAGGACAGCCAGGGCTGTTACAGAGAAACCCTGTGTTGAAAAACACAAAAAGAAAAGGGGAAAAAAAACTTTCTATAGTTCAGTAGTTCATAAGAAGTCCCTTTTTGAGTCAGGATCTCATTGTATAGCCCTGTCCAGCCTAGAGCTCAATATGTAGATCAGGCTGGCCCAGAACTCACAGAGATCCGCTTGCTTCTATCTCTCTAGTGCTGGGATTAAAAGAGTGCACCACTACACCTGTCTTTCTCTGTCTGTCTCACTTTCTCTCTCTGCGCACACATAAACACATGAGAGAGAGAGAGAGAACGCGCTTCTGGGAGTTGGTTCTCTTCTAACACCAGTGGGTTCCAGGCATCGAAATCAGGTCATCATGTGGTAAGCACCTTTTACTCCACCGAGCCCCGCCTCTGGCCCGGAGGTTTCTGTCTTGTTTACACTGCAGTCTAGTACAGGTTTGGGGACAGGGGCCCATCCTGTCAAGACACGGGGAAGCATGTCTTTTTTTTTTTTTAAAGATTTATTTATTTATTACATATACAGTATTCTGCCTGCATGTGTCCCTGCAGGCCAGAAGAGGGATCTCATTACAGATGGTTGTGAGCCACCATGTGGTTGCTGAGAATTGAACTCAGGACCTCTGGAAGAACAGCCAGTGCTCTTAACCACTGAGCTATCTCTTCAGCCCTGGGGAAGCATTTCTTGATTCCTCTACTTCCTGAAGCATCCACACTGAGGGGTCAGCCTGGAGGACACTAACCCTGTTCCCATGAACCTTCCTTCCATGGAGCAGAACTGCCACGTGGTCACATCTACAGCAAGGGAGGAAATACAGGTAATCATGAATAATTTCATACTTTAACTGTGTTCCAAATATTGCACAGGACACACTTATGCTGAGAAATTCTTGGTTGTTTATCTGAAATTCAAATCCTGTACTTTTACTTGCTAAACCTGGCAGTCCCTAGGAGGAAGTGAGGCTTGGCCCAGCGTTCAGGAAGACGAAGACTCAGATATTTGTCTGTCAGTGCCTTTCTGAGCCAAATACCTGTTTTTCCTGACCGAATACATTACCCCGAGTCCCATGTCGCCCTTGCACTGAGCAGTCTCTCAGGCAGTTGCTGGTGGTGATCTACAAGTCGTCTACACTCCACAGATACACCCGGCGTCCACCAGCAGGGGAAGAAAGGGTAAAGTCGGGTCAGACTTCATTCAGAAAAGGGAAGCAAGCGAGGGCGTGGCTTCTGATCAAACCCTTCTGAATTCTCACTGGTCAGGCACAGCAAACCCTTCCTAGGGTTAGGGCAAGTTCCTTGATCAGAGCCTGACTTTCCTTTGGAAGGACTCCTTGGTCCATTGTTGGTTTCGGCTGCCCCTCCTTCCTGGGACACTGAACTCTGGAAGTTTCTCTGTGATGGCTGTCCTCATGTGCACACCTGAGATGGGCCTTAGGAGTAGGGCTTCCTTGGGAAATGTTCAGCTTTCTCCACTGGCTTCCTATATGGGGGGTCCACAGTTAATTGTAAGGCTCAGTCAGTTGGTGCCTTGTGGGGATCGGGGTTAAAATATAGCTTTAGGGCCAGCAAGATGGCTCAGTGGCCACTTGGCAGCCGAGCCCGATGACTTAAGTTTGATCCCCAGCACTCCCATGGTGGAAGAAGAGAAGCAACTCCTGACGATTGTCCTTCAGCTGCCACGCGGGCACAGTATGTGATATGCACATGCAGACACGCAATAAATAAGAAAATGTAGTTTTTCATTGCAAACATATGTAATTTTTAAAAATTTATTTAACGTGCATGAGTACTTTGCCTGCACGTAAGTCTGTGTACCATGTGCATGCAGTGCCCAGAGAGGCCAAAAGAGGGCGTCGGATCCCCTGCGACTGGAGTTACAGACAGTTGTGAGCCGCCTGGTGGGTGCTGGGAATCAAACCTCTGCTCTCTGGAAGAGCCAGCTGTCCAGCTCCATACACATATTATGAAGACCTCTCTGCTGTTAATTACTACGTTTTTAGCTCTGCTCTCCAAGTTCTTCTTTTACCCGCTCTGTTCCCTTTCCTGCTAGGAGTGAGACACTGGAGCTCGGCAGAGAAAATCACGCAACTGCCATCTGCAGCCTCCGTGTTTGGCTCTGCCAATAAAAGCCAGGAGAGGGCGATAGTGAGGCCAGAGGCGGAAGGGAGCGATTTGCTCCTTGAGCTGGCGTCTCCTGCAGCTGCTGTGGAATGAACTTTGGAGATGTGTTTCCCCAGCAACAGCCACAGAACCAGCCCCATAGCTTTCCACCACAGACAGCAGCGACCAGCTAGGTAGAATCTACTTCGAGGTCTGGGTCCACCGCAGGTGCAGAGACCAAGGGAGCAAGAGCACCGGACTTTTCCAAGGTCCGAGCGGCTCTGCCGGCCCCTTCAAGGGTCCCAGGTTCTGGAATTCCAAACTCGTGGCTTTGCTCTCTGGTCTAGACCTACAGAAGCTTCCGGCTCGCTTCTCCTTTGCTGTTCTTTGGTTTTGTTTCTCCGAGACAGGGTTTCTCTGGGTAGCCCTGGCACTCGTCCTGTAGACCAGGCTGGCCTCGAACTCACAGAGATCCGCCTGCCTCTGCCTCCCGAGTGCTGGGATTAAAGCTGTGCGCCACTATGCCCGGCTCAAGGAAAGGACAATTTTATCACCAACATCATTTGGAATCTCCAGGATATGGTGACGATAAAAGCCCCACCCAATTTCATTAAAGGGGGAGGCTATCACTGCCCAGTGACCTTGAGATTCTGATCATCTTGTTCTACCTTCCAAATTCTGGGGTTATAGGTGCGTGCCATCATCCCAGAACCAAAGCCTCTGAATGCTAAGCAAACACTCTACCAAGCGAGGGCTTCTAAATAGTTTTTCTCCTTTATCCATCTGTATAAGTTTTCAGTAACAGTTATTGATTTTTTTAGACAAGGTCTCACCATGTAGCCTTGGCTAGCCTGGAGCTCACTGTGTAGATCAGGCTAGCCTCAAAGTCACAGAGATGTGGGCCACCATACCTGGCTTATAGTTAACAATTTTGTATTTAATCAGTTGCTGTATTACATTTTCTGTGTAAATTACTGCTGTGGTTTCTGTTGCACTGACGAGGCCCCGATGGCTACGAAAATCGGTACTAGGAAGGGTCCCGAGGAAACAGACGAGAGGTGGAACCTGGCCTAGCGGTGTCGCGGAGTTTGAATGCTAAGCTCCATGCCAAGGCAGATTCAGTGCTCTCAGTTCCTGCCACGGAGCAGCACAAGGAACCAGGTGTCAGCTGTGGTTATCAGTGACAAGGTGTCAACTAAAGCAGGTGTGTTGCGCTGACAGAGATAACGGTGAGGGCCACTGACCGTCCTGGATGGCATCTGAATCTTTGCAGAAGAAAGAAGAAGCCAAGCATGGTGGTAACACGTATCTGTATTCTCAGCATTCGGGACACTGAAGCGGGAAGATCAGGAGTTCAAGGCCCACCTGGACTACACAGTTAGAGCATTGCTCAAAAGGCAGAGAACGAGAGGCAGACAGAGCGGCACAGTTCCCACTCCAGAAAACGGTGTTTTCTCTTCCTTCCCTCCCTCCCTCCTTCCTTCCTTTTTTTCTTTTTGTTTTGATTGTCGTTTGGGGACTTTGTTTTATTTTGAGATGGGATCTCTACATATCCCTTGCAGGCCTGCAATGTACCACATACACCAAACTTAAAACAATTCTCTTGCTTCAAACTTGTGACAGGGGCTGGTGGGATGGCTCAGTGGTTAAAGGCATTTGCTGCTCCTGCAGAGAAACTGGGCTCAGTTTCCAGCACCCACAAGGCAGCTAAAAAATCATCTGTAACTCCAGTTCCAGGGATCTGATGCCCTCTTCTGACCTCTATGACCACCAGGCATAAATGTGATGCACATACATACATGCAGACAAAACACTCAAAAGTCATACACGTAAAATAAAACAAATATTAAAAACTTTAAAAGCCCAGCACTTGGGAATCACATGCAGGTGGATCTCTGTGAGTTCGAGGCCAGCCCAGTCTACAGAGTGAGTTCCAGGTCAGCCAGGGCTACACAGAGAAACCCTGTCTTGAAAAAAGAAAAAAAGAAAAAGCAAAGTGTAAAAAAAAGCAGGAAGGAAATTGTAATTGAGTTTATTTATTTATTTATTTGCATGGGAACTACATGTGCCATTGCAAGCACATGGTGGCTAAAGGACATCTTGTGAGAACTGGGTCTCTCCTGCTGTCACGTGGGCCCTGGGCATCAGTCGCCTTTATGTGCTGAGCTATCTCACTGAACCAGAAGGAAACATTTTTTATTTACTTATTATATATATATATATATATATATATTGTTTTGTTTTGAGACAGGTTTTTTTTTTTTTTTTTTTGCATAGTCCTGGCTGTCCTAGAACTCACTCTGTAGACCAGAAAGACCTTCCTACCTCTGCCTCTCAACTGCTGGCATTGAAGGCTTTCACCACAACCAGCCAGCAAGAAAACATTTTTTTTAAAGATTTATTTATTTATCATGCATACAGTATATATGACTGCAGGGTAGAAGAGGGCACCAGACCTCATTACAGATGGCTGTGAACCACCATGTGGTTGCTGGGAATTGAACTCAGGACCTCTGGAAGAGCAACCAGTGCTCTTAACCTCTGAGCCAGCTCTCCAGCCCAAGAAAACAGTTTTAATGAATTCATGTAGCTTAAATACAGAGCAATGGTTCTCAACCTGTGGGTGGCAACCCCTTTGGGGGTCACATGACCCTTTCATAAGGGTCAAATATTAGCTATTTACATTATGATTCATAACAATAACAAAAATATAGTTATGATGTAGCAACAAAATAATTTTATGATTGGGGGATTACCACAATATGAGAAACTGTATTTAAAGGATCCAAGCATTAGAAAGGTTGAGAACCGCTGGGTAGTGGTGGCATGTACCTTTAATCCCAGCACTTGGGAGGCAGAGGCAGGCGGATCTCTGTGAGTTTGAGGCCAACCTGGCCTACAGAGCGAGTTCCAGATAAACAGAGAAACCATGTCTTGAAAAAAACAAACAAACAAACAAACAAAAAACCCAATAACCACAAAAAGATATGGCCTTGTGTAACCCAGGCTAGACCCAAACTTGCTGTATAGCCAAAGCTTCTGAGATCATGTTTCTCTGCCTCCCAAGGGCTGAGAAGCAGGCACGAACCAACCTTTGTATTTGCTGCATCTTTTCTGTGTCTAGTTGTGTGAAATACACAAACAACACTGTGTTGTATTTGCCTGTAGTAGTGAGTAGAGTTTTGGAGCCTAGGAGCATTACAAGATAGCTTAGATATGTATTCAGTTTTTTCCCTTAAGTTTTTTAAGGTTTTTTTTATTTTATGCACATGGGTGTTTTGCCTGCATATGTGTCTGTACCACATGTATGCAGTGCCTTTGAAGGCAGAAGAGGGACTAGAGTTTCAGACCATTGTGAGCCACTGTGTGGGTGCTGGAAATTGATCCTGCATCCTCTGAAAGAGCAGGTAGTATTCTTTTTTAATTAATTAATTAATTAATTTTTATTATTTCATGTGCATTTGAGCTGTGGGATGTCTTTCTATATGCTGTGAATATGTGTTGCTATGATTGGTTAATAAAGAAGCTGCTCTGGCCTATGGCAAGTCAGGTTATAGCCAGGAGGGAAATCCAAGAGAGAGACAGGAAGAAGAAAGGTGAGGCAGAGGAGACGCCAGCCTGCTGCCCAAGGAGCAACATGCCAACAGACCTGTAACCCACAGCCACGTGGCAATATATAGATTAATAGAAATGGGTTAATTTAAGATGAAAGCGCTAGCTAGGAAGAATTCTAAGCCATAAGCCATACAGTTTGTAATTAATATTAAGTCTCTCAGTGATTATTTTATAAATGGCTGCGGACTGAGGGTGAGAGAGATTTGTCTGGACTGCAGGGGTCAGGCGGGACCGGAGAAACTTCCAACTACAGTTGATGCCCACAGTCGGGCATTGATCCACATAGACCTGATAAAGCTTAAAAAGGATTGTTTGTTTTGTTTTTCAAGGCATAATTTTTCTGTGTAACTTTGGAGCCTGTCCTGGAACTCCCTCTGTAGACCAGGCTGGCCTCAAACTCGCAGAGATACTCCTGTCTCTGCCTTCCAAGTGCTGGGATTAAAGTGTGCACCGCTGCCGCCACACCACCACCACCACCACCACCCTCACCCCCACCACCGGGCTTTAAAAAGGATTCTGCACTGGGTTTCCTGGCCTTGCTGTCTCAGGGCAGCAGCTGTGCAGAGACATATCTGCCGACAGCCACCTGCAAGATGAAGCTGGCCACCAGCCACCCTGAGCTAAGTGGCACTGTGGGTTCCGGAAGTCTCTCCCACAGGTTGCAGTACAGAGAGGCTTCTCCCAGCCACTGCCACTGCCTGCTGCGGGCTTGCAAGTGCAGCCGAGGCATTTAGAGTACAGCTCCACGCTACTTAATACTGCTTCCCAGAGCTCACGATAAATGTAACTCTGCCATGTTGAAAAGCCGAGCAAGGGCTGAGCCAGCAGCTGGGGCTACAGTTTAAAACAATGGTCAGAGACGGGCGGTGGTGGCGCACGCCTTTAATCCCAGCACTCGGGAGGCAGAGGCAGGTGGATCTTTGGGAGTTCGAGGCCAGCCTGGGCTACCAAGTGAGTTCCAGGAAAGGCGCAAAGCTACACAGAGAAACCCTGTCTCGAAAAAACCAAAAAAAAAAAAAATAAAAAAATAAAAATAATAAAATGTCTTAAGAGGGCTGGAGAGATGGCTCAGCAGTTAAGAGCACTGACTGTTCTTCCAGAGGACCTAGGTTCATTTCCCAGCAACCACATGGCAGCTCACAACTGTCTGTAACTCTAGTTCCATAGAACCCTCATACAGACATACATACAGACAAAATAAAATGCACATAAAATAAAAATAAATAAATAAATGTCTTAAGAACTTAGACTTTTCTGGACAGTGAGACACATCTGCTCCTGGCAGCGCCAATTACTTCAAAGAAGATGATGGGCATCAAAGAAACCTACTAATGGATTTTGCTTTCTTTGTGGCAAAAGTTAGCCACTGGGCAAAAAAGTGTCCTTGCCTCGACTGCTTGACAGGATGTTGTATAAACTGGACATATAGGACCCATAGGAAAATAACCACTGAATTTTGCCAAAACAAGGTAAGGTGGTCCTTTAGGTTCCTTCTTTGCAGAGGAGACTGCCAGACATTCTACAGGACACAGAGAGAAGTGACTGAGAGACTCTAGGCCTGCGGGCTGAAGATGGATGCCCCACTGTTGCAGAGGAACTTGGGGTGACTGTCCAGGCAGCCGGCTGTCTCTGTCATTTCCAGAATTTTGGAAGTTGCTTACAATGCATTTCCTGTTTAGTTAGCTAATATTACATCCTTCTGGGGTCTTTGATGGAGTTGAATACAAGATAGTTATAATTGTCCTTACTTATGATAAAAGATAGATATGAAATTTTAGACTCACAAAAATAGGGTAGATGATAGAATGTTTTTAATTTTGCCAAATACAAATAGACTAGGTGTTGTAACTATAATTCTTGCTTAATAACTGTTCTATTATATGTAATTTTATTATGTTAAAACCTTCCTTTCTGATTAGACAGAAAAGGGGAAGTGCTATGGGATGTCTTTCTGTACGCTGTGAATATGTGTTGCTCTGATTGGTTGATAAAAAGGTGTTCAGCCAGTAGCAGGGCAGAATAAGATCAGATGGAACTGAAGAGACAGAAGAAGAAAGGGGAGGGGAGGAAATGCCAGCAGCTGCCAAAGGAGCAACATGATGCCAGCAGACCGGTAACGCGATGGCCCCACGGCAACATATAGATTTATAGAAATGGGTTGCGTTAAGTTATAAGAACTAAATCAGGAGGCGGTGGCACACGCCTTTAATCCCAGCACTCATGAGGCGGAGTCAGGCAGATCTCTGTGAGTTGGAGGCCAGCCTGGTCTACAGAGTGAGTTCCAGGACAGGCAGCAAAACTACACTGAGAAACCCTGTCTCAGGGGGGGAAAAAGTTATAAGAACTAGCTGGCAAGAAGCCTGACCCATAGGCCATTTAACTTGCAGTTAATATTAAGCCTCTGAGTGATTATTTTATAAGTAGCTGCAGGACCTTGGGACTGGGCAGGACTGGAGAAACAAGGGACCATGGGGCCAGGTGGGACCAGAGAAACTTATGGCTACACATTTATGTTTTGAGTACATGTATATCTGTTTGAGGGTGTCAGGTGCCCTGGAACTGGAGTTACAGGCAGCTATGAGCTGCCATGTGGGTGCTGGGAATTGAACCTGGGTCCTCTGGAAGAAGAGCCAGTGCTCTTAACTGCTGAGCCATCTCTCCAGCCCCCTCACTTAAGTTTTTGTTGCCAGTATACTTGATGATTATTGGTTTAAATATTAAGGCAACTCTACGCCACGTAGTTAAAAGGGAGGTTCATTTTGTGGGGTAACTTACAAGTAAAGGATAGGTAACAGGGTATAGGAAAGGTGAAGTGGAGTCCAGCCATGTTCTCTGGAGAACTCTGCTTGGTCTACCTCCAGCCTCCAGGATCCAGGAACCAAGAGAGCCGGCTCATCTGGATCTCGGGTCTTCAGGGGTCCTCTCTCAGTTTGCCTTGTAGGTGTGACAGTTACCGAAGCCTCAATGGGGGTGATACTTCCAGGTCAAAGCTGGACCGGCTACCCACTACAGATGATATTCACCATGATGATAAGATTACAAAGATTATAAGTTTTTCTTTTCTTTCTTTTTTGAGGCAGGAGTTTCTCTTCATA